AAAAGAGCAGTCCCCCAGTGACTGCTATTCCTTCTACCTCAGCCTCAGAATAACGGATACATGGAGCAACCCTGAATCCAAACCTAGCTGATCTCAGCCAAACAACGACTGACTATCCAACCCATAGACAAGAAATGTGTATCGCCACAGCAAAATCTGAATAACAGATATATAATGTCTTTTTACTTTTATTTAGTAAACCATTTTTTTTCCTGTCAGGATGACATGAAGAAGCATAATAAATTTAAAAGTTTCAGAAAGGTCTAAATAGGTACCTTACATTAAAGGATAGAAATGACTCTATTCATGTTAAAAAGTAATTTTCCATATGTGAAGCTAATCATGAGCATTTTAAGAGAAACTAGAATTTACGTTAACTGTTAAAGCACAGTGCTACATTTCTTCTAACAGTAGTGTACTTTGTAGAATGTTAAATACATGTACAGTGCTCAACAAAGTATATAATTGGGGTGTTGAGGTCATAATTAACAGTATAATGTGTGCTCTGGAAGGTCATCTAAGAAAACTGAAGTTAGGCTTACTGACAAAATTAAGTTGACCTGTTAATGAATAATCTATGTAATCACAGGACCTATCTGTGTGCAGTCATTCCTTTTTCCTGGAAAATCTCCTAAAACATCCAGCAATATAGGTGGTCAAACAATGATCGATGGCCACAACTTTGACACTTAGAGGTGTTTTATTCATGACTCAGCTTCTTATTAACTGAGTCATTTTATTTACTCAATGACTTTGGCTTCCCTACTAAGTAGTTCTGTAAACATACACTAGTACTCTTGTAGTAAAGTGAGGGAGGAAATAGTGTAAAACAACTTCATAGATAATTTTTTTTCTTTTTTAGTCTTTGATAGTTCTTTTCCCCCATTTCTCTTTTTTATCATTTAAAACTCTCTTTATTTAACTATTTGTCATAGCTTTGAAAATTAGATTAAAGGCATGTTCCTTACATGAGATTACATAAATAAAAAGACACAGTATACCTAAATGAAAAGGTTCTGATGCTCTCATCCTAACACATACTGCATGGTGAACCAAAATAATAAATATCTATTGTATGTTGAATCACACTTGCCTACTCTATCAATTTCATTTTCATAAAGATCATTATCAATGAAGGAAGAATAAGTGCATTTCATCTCCCAATAGGTCGACAATACTAACATGATAATAATGATAATTATCTTAGTGGACAATATGTACATGGATAATATACTAAATGCAGTTGTCAGGATTAGATAGGTTCTGCTGAAGCAACAAATAAATTCTGAAATATCAGGGACTTAGTACTATAAAAGTTTATTTCTCACTTATGAAAAATTCAACACACCTAGGCAGGAATTTCGCTCCATTTCCGGGATATCTGCCTTCCACGGTTTCTAGGATCACCCAGGCAGGCACGGGAGAGTTGGAAGAGGGGCAGAAACACACTAACTCTTCAGTGCCTCAGACTGTAGGTGGCAAGTTGCATCCCCTCAGTCTCATTGGCCAGAGCACAGTCCCATGGTCCTACACTAACTCTGAATTAGGCTCCTGAATGTTGTCATCCTATCTGCACAGAAGTGAAAAGCGCCAGCTGCACAATTAGAATTGTCTTCACTATATTAAAAAAAAAAAAGTTATCCCTTTAAATCCATTCAGATTCCTATGAATTTACTTTGATGATTAGTAATTAGAAGCAATCTCAGAGTTTTATTCCAAAATCAGGACTACTTTCTCTACTCACCAGCAATTGAAAAATCACGAGATTTTTGGCAAAGTTTTAAAATATAATTTGCTTAAAGTAACAGGTTAGGTATCAGCTATGATTACGTGACCCAAGTCACATTTAGCCCTACTCCAATATTTGCTCTGAGACTACGACTTTAGGATTCGCTCTTTCCTTTTTGGGGGACCACCGTGTCCAGAATTATGGGGATTATGGTGTTCACAGTTTCAGTGGCCTAAACCATCCACTGGAAACAGAAATAAATGGAAAGGCTCTGGCAGTCATTATTAGGATAATAATTGTAAAGCGAAACATGAGGACTTTTGTGAAGATGAAAGTTTAGAATGGAAAATGAAACAGGAATGGCAAAGAAAGACATGAATGAACAGTAATAAGAAAAGGAAGATATTAACAGATTAACTAAATAAAAGAGGAGCAGAGAGGCCTTCACCATTTGTAACAATACAGAAACTTGTAGAAGCCTTTTCACTCTATCATATTTCTTCTTCTCTTCTTGCATTTTATCTTGCTTTGTTCTTTTCTCTTCTCTGGAACTGGTCTTCCTCACAATAATATAGAAATAACATTGAAAAATTATCTTGCTTTTAAAAAGCTTAAAAGGATGAATTAGGTCATTGGGTTTAGGAAACTTGCTAGATTAATCTTTGCTTAGAGATTCAAAAAATAAAATAAAAATTCAAGTGTCTCTCTAATTACTGCTTTCTGTCTCTTCCACCCTGACCTCCTTTCTTTCAGACACTCTCCCTTTGTCACCTTCATAAAAGCCACAGAGTGAGTATCAATGACCTCCCTTACCATGAAGGATGAAACACAAAAGTCGGCCTTTATTCTAAGCATCAGAAGGACTGTTGAAGCAAGCATGTGACAAGCTGCTGCACCCAGAATGCCTGACACACCTATGTATCTCACTATTTTTAGTGACAACATCCAAAGTAATTTCAGCTGTTGATAAAAACCAAATGACTTCCCACAAAATTACCATTAGAGCATTTTGTGCTACCATAAAACAGGCACTAATTGCCACAGGAAGTCAGGGACAGCTTTATATTTTTCTCTCTAAATGACATAAAACACTGTAAGCTTGATAGTTACTATCATTTTGTCAGGAGTTCTTTTTAAATTTAAATATAGACCATTTCCAAGATCATTTTGCAAAGCTCATGTCTGAAGAATCGTGAATGATATTTACTCTATAGGCATTTTTTTAAAGGTATATGGGGTTTATTTCAGTCCCAAATCAAAAATTTGTGCTAAACTTGTGCTGAACAATCACCAGAGAGTTTCATATCCAAACCTCCAATTTTTATGTTTGATTCCCTATCAACAACAATGAAGTTTTTCTGCAAATGGAAAGCATCTAAATATGGCAACTTCCAATGGTAATGCTACAAAAAAGGTCTCCCTACTGAAGGCACCGAACCTGGATAGACAAGGAGGAGAGAGTTTTATTTTCCTGGTTTGCTAGAGATAGTTCCCCTGAGATTATGGTACTTCTGGGGTACAGTAAGATCAAGTTTTTATCTTTTAAAGTGTCCCTCTGCTATACTGTATTTTAAAACTAAAAATACTGGAAGGTCATTCACATGAGAATAATTTTAATGAGATTAAAAAAATGAGCATCACAGGCATTCCATAAACATTAACTACTACACCGGCTTAAGTACAAGGTATGTTAAATTATGGACTTAATACAATCACACTTTGAATATAGTTGGCGGTGTCTTGGAGTGTTTAGTCCTAGTCTAGGCAATTTCAAATGGTTTTCTATTTGTATGCCAAGTTACAATTTGTCCAGTTCTTATATTTTGTCACAGGACTATGTTACAAGTGGATATTCAGTCAATACTAGCACAAACGACAAAATAATTGTGAGCTGCATTTGTGTAGTTCAACTGCAAATGAATATATATTCTCCTATATTTATAACATAAAGAAATGTAACTGCGAGCTTAGTCATTATGTAGCCACTTAATATCATATATTAAGTAATGACTGATATAGGATTGACACAATATCCTCAAAGTCCAGGAAGAAAACAGAAATAAAAATTAAGAGCCTTGGCATTAAAAATTTAACTATTAGTTATAATAATATTGTATGGTATAGTCTTTTAAAAAGTGTGCTACCCAGCTAAAGTAGTCTTGGAAATAGAAGAGTTTTCTATACTCCTTCTATATTGGTTTGTTAGAAAAAATCAGCATGTTGTTATTTAAAAATTTATATCTCAGATCCATTCCCCTAGTTTTCCTTAAAGAACTAAAATATAAGACATACGATGCATTTATTAAATGCCAACTATGTGCCACTGTGTCTTTCTCTTGAATTTCAAATACAAAATGCATTCTCTTTGCCCTTAAATGTGTCCCCTAAAGAGCATGTTTAGGTAGTAGACAAATATACTATATATATTACATATACGATGTATGTTATTTAGTATATAATATTAAATATACACTATATATAATATATAATATATAATGTATAGGTAATGCATGCAATGCACATGTTACATGCAATATATGTATTATAGTACATGCAATATATGTAATTAATGCATGTGTCATATGTGATGTGTGTGATTGCATGTGTGTCATTTACACACACATATTGCATATACACGTGTGGTATTTATGTGGTATACACGTGTGTGCACACCTGTATATATGTGATATACATGTGTGTAACATATACAACATATACATGTAGTTCAAATTCAACAAAATAATTATTATGAAACACATGCATAAGAAAAATAAATAAGCCTAACTACTTTTCTTAAAGCTTCAATTTCTCCTATCTCACAACTGCTGATTCACTCAGTATATTGCTTTTGAAGATGTGAAGATTACAATAAAAAAAAAAACTTTCCTATGAATTCTTTTCCTTCTTACAAACCAAACATAAATTTTAAGCAAGGGGAAGATTCAGGGAGGAAACTAAAAACAGAGCATCTATATCCCATTCTGGGAAATTATGTTGCTAATTTATTTTATTTGATTTGGAATTAAATAAAAACAGAAGAATTAGCATGAAGTATAAATTGAATTTTGTAAGCTGTTCACTCTACAAAACTAGCAAAATAGGTATGTCAAGAAAAGATGCAGCCTACATTCCACATGCAGAACCAGGGCCTTTGTTCACAAGCTTTTTCAAATTCAGTTAATGGTTCTTTATGAACAAACAACAGCCCTGAGTTTTATGGCTCCTATTACTAGACATGGCATCAAGAGTGTGTCCCTAGAAAGGATCCCCAATGCTCTCTCCTGGAGCACATGTACTAAAATTGGAACAATTTAAAGATATCACCGTGGCTCCTGCACAAGGATGACAAATTTGTAAAGCATTCCATATTTTTACATCGTGTGTTCATAGGTCAGGAAAATTAATAGTGTTAAAATGACCGTGCTACCCAAAGCAAATTACAGATTCAATGAAATCCCCATCAAGATACCAAAGGCATTCTTCACAGAAACAGAAGAAACAATCCTAAAATTAGTGTGGAACCATAAAAGAACCCAAAGAGCCAAAGCAATCCCGAGAAAGAAAAAGACAAAGCTAGACGTATCACTCTTCCTAATTTAAAAATATACTACAAAGCTCTAGTAATAAAAACAGCATGGTACTGGCACAAAAGTGAACATGTAAACCAATGAAACAGAATAGAGATCCCAGAATTAAATCCCGGCATGTACAGTCAACTAGTATTCAACCAGGGAGCCAAGTACACCGAATGGGGAAAGAATAGTCTCTTCAACAAATGGTGTTGGGAAAACTGAAAAAACACACGCATAAAAATGAAATTAAACCCCTATCTTACCCCTCTCACAGAAAGTAACTCAAAATTAATTAAGGACTTAAACATAAGAATTGATACCATTAAAGTCCTAGAAGAAGACACAAGAAATAAGTTCATTGATACTGGTCTTGACAATCATTTTTTGGTTATCATGCCCAAAATGCAAACAACATAAGCAAAAATCAACAAATTAGACTACATCACACTCAAATGCTTCTGCAGTACAAAGAAACAATCCACAGAATAAAAAGACAACTTAGAGAATGGGATAATATTTTTGCAAGCCTTAGATAAAGGGTTACTATCTAAAATATATTAAGAACTCATACAACTTAACATAAAAACAAAGAATCCAACTTAAGAGTGGGCAGAAACTCATTTTCCCAAAGAGGACACCAAAATGGTGAAGAGGAATGTGAAAAGATGCTCAACATCGTTAAACATCAAAGTAATCCCAGTCAAAACCATGATGAGCTAACCCCTCACATCTGTTAGAATGGCTATCATTAAGAAGACAAGAGACATCATGTGCTGGTGGATGTGGTGAAAGGGAACCCTTATACCCTACTGGTGGGGTGCAAAGTAGTCCAGTCACCATGGAAAACAATATGGAGGTTACTAAAAACTTAATAGATTGACCATACAATCCAGCAATTCCACTTCTGAATTTATCCCCAAAGGAAATGAAAACAGGACTTGTATGCGATACATGCACAACCATGTTTATTGCAGCATTATTCACAATCTCCAAAAGATGGAAACAACTCAAATGCCTACCGATGGATGAACAAATAAAAAAGGTATGATATATATACACAATGGGGCATTATTCAGTCATAAATAAGAGATATCCTGACATTTGTGATGACATGGGTGGACCTTGAACATATTATGCTAAATAAGTCAGAGAAAGACAAATACTGTATAATAACACTTATATATAGAATATAAAAAAATCTATAATAAAATAGAGTAAATGCTTTTTACCATGGGGTGGGAGTGGGGGGGATACTACCTATAGTGTTTAAGAGTATGAACTTATAGTAACTAAACCATAGAGATCTAATGCACAGTATAATGAATATAATTGTATAATTTTAAAAATATTGCTATAATGTCAATTATAGTATTTAAATATATCAAAGTAATGTACTGGGTATCTTATAATTAATTATACAATGTTTAAGATACAATATTTACACTATTTACATGTCAAATTTATTCAGTAAAGGAAGAAAGGAAGAAAGAGAAAGAACAACACATATCACCAGAACAAAGAGCCCAGAAACCAATCTACCCATATACAGTCAATTAATTTATAACAAATGACCCGAGAATATGCAACAGAGAGCAGCTAGGCCCTTCAATAAATGGTGTTGGGGAAAATAGGGCAGCCAAATACAAAAGAATGAAACTGTACTCTTACTTTGTACCATACAAAATAAAAACCCTCAAATATATTAAATATTTTACATATCAATGCCTACTTAGACTTAGTATCACACCTCTTCATGCAAACTGTAAGAACCCTGAACAGTATAATCTCATTTATACCCCAAGCCTTAGTACTACTGTGTTATATATATTTTACATTTAAGAACATCATAAATCCCACAATGTGATATTATAACTTTTACTTTAAAAAAATAAAAGATCCCCCAAATGAGGTCAAGCACTCTAAAAGACTCAATCCATACTCAACTCATGAGGGTCACAAACCCAGGATTCAAGTTCAGGATTCCCGTGGAGAATATATCTGTCCATTTCACACTTCACTCTTTATAGGATGTGAAAAGACCCAGATCCCGTAAGACCTGTAAGGAAATCCACCTTACTTAATTAATGTAACACAAGATACTTGGATTTTACTTACTAGAAAAAAATTTCCAGATGGCAAATGTTCCCTTATGTCAAAGCAACCGCATGAGGCTTATTTTAACCTCGGGGAATTTCGTACATTGTTAAACTATATTTCCCAGTGAATCCCAGAATCCCCTTCCCCATGCTTTCACACTCTAATCCAATTTGTACCCGAAACACTTTCTCTGGATTCCCTTAGTAGTGGTTAGACATACTCTAAGCTTTTAAAAGTAAGTGTTGATAATAGAAATTTTAAACAAACAGCGGCTTGCTTTAAAACTGTCCTTTTTCCCCATAGTGTAAAGGCTCTGTTCTGTAATGGGTGGCCCTGAGATAGTTAAACACTGGATTCAAAAATGGGCAGGTCCTCAAAAGCAACTTGTCTGAATTTCTCATTTTCTCCTTTTAGTTTGCTGACTTCTTCCCTGGGGATACTATTTCATATTCCACAATAGAGGGATCCTCCTTGTGGATATTAAATTTAAAAATACCCTGAAGCTCCTGTGCTCAAGAAGACCAGGGGAGAGATTTCCATTCTATATTTTTCCTAGGCTTTTCCTGATTTCCAGTTACTAGTTTGAGAAATGTTTCAAGTAGCCTCCACCAACTTTGAGGTAACAGTTGCATTGATGGATCTTCTTAGTTGTCGGAACATATTTCTCAGAGGCCTGACTTTTCCAATCCCATGGGAATTACTTTAATGTCTATCAAGAGGATTCAGGAAGAATGTGACTCACAAGGTTTTTCTGAGTCCAACTCTGATGGAATTAATTAGGGAAGACCTATAGTGTCCATGGATCAAACAGGAAGGGAATACTAATACTATAAGAAACTTTCTCACAAATACCTATAAAACATGCTAAAAAAGACTAAATTCTTTGTGTTATTATTGATTACTGCTCCAAGCTCCAGCCCTGATGTGTTTGCTAATCCTCCCTGGCCCTTCCTCAAACAGAATATGAAGCCTGTCTTTGATTGTATCCTTCACTGAGAAGCTGATTTTTTTTTAGCAATAATCTTTCCAAAACTCTAATCTTAATCTCAGCTGAACAAACCATACCTCAGTTTTCTGTTAGCTTGGTTGGTTTTTTGGCAATATCATCAGCTTGACCAAAACTAACATTTCCACACTGGAAAAGGAAAAATCCAAAGCCATTACAGTATGAAAAATGTATCCCTGCAATTACTAAAGGAATCTTTAATTCTAAAGAGAATTTTTAAAAGACTCTAATCTAGATATGTCTATTAGAGCTACATTTGCAGAGCCCTAAATAAGAAGGAAAGGCTGTGAAATACAGTCTCACACTGTAATCACAAAAACAAGGACAGTGATTTGATTTGGTGACAGTTTTTGAATACAGAACACAGAGTCAGCAGGAGAAATCTGTGGATATATTAGCCTTAGATTTGAGACCTCTTTCAATAGAGTACAACACAGAAAAAACTAATTTACAGAGTAAGAAAATAAAGTGTGATGAGCATTGGGAACAATCGCAGGTAAATATAGGAAGGCAAATAGTTTTTGGCAGTGAAGTTGCCTTAAAATGGGTAGAAAATTGTTGCCCAGATCACAAATCAGTTTTAGGAAACTTACCTTTAATACCTAGGGTAAGGAATGTGGCATAAAATTACAAAATATGCAACCATGAATAGTGATACTTTGGTGAAAACTAATGTGAAACAAAAAATAATGACAAATAGAATTAATTTGAGCAGAGCTCAGTGATTATTATTTAAATCAATACTTATGAAATAAACACAATGTGTTAGAACTATATTAAGAGTAGTAAATGCACGATAAGAATGAACAAAGAAAGAAAAATCCTCCCCCCAAAAACTGAGAAACAATGGTGCTATCTTCCTTGAATATTTCTATTCCAAAGAGTTGTTTTTCAGGTATATTTACACTATTATTAAACATGACTTTCATATTAACCATTGTAACCAAACAAGGAGTATACATGATTAAAAATTACCATACTTACAACTTCTGTGCTTTTTGGGAAATAAAGGAGAAAGAGTTAAACATCAACAAAGACAAGACAAGAGAGGGTGCTGACAACGGCTTCTATACATTAGTTCAGGAAATTTGAAAACATAAAGAGATGAACAAAGATGGTAAAAAAGAAGTTAAAGACAAAGTGTATAATTATGCAAATACAATTTATACTTTTTTCTTAAGGCATATTTAAGTAAAAGTGATAATTTTTGTATATTACACTAAATTATTAACATTTGTTTTAGCATTACCTAATTTTCTTTTTGTACCATCCCAGCTGTTAGCTCTTATTTTCAATGTTTATTTTTAAAAAGTGACAGTGGAATTTATTTTCTCATAAGCACCACTATTCTGGGTTTTTTTGTTTGTTTGTTTTGTTTTTTAACTAAAAATGCCTGTGGGGGGTGGAGGGAAAAAAAACTGAATACCGGAGATTTCTTTCCTGGGATTTTTTGGTGCATGCATTTGATTACTTTCTTACTTGAACTCAAGAAATGGAAGCATGATGTCTCATGTTTATTGGTTGTTCCTATATTATTTTCAAATTGTACACAAAGTTAAGTGATTTTGTGGCAAAAAAAAAAAAAAAGGTTAAGTAAGCTTATGTAGGGAAATGTGTTCGCAGATTTAGAGACTTTTTGCTGCCAGATACTGAGTTTGAGGGTGGTCCATTCCATCATTAAAAAGGACAGGGACTGAA